TTTAGTTATTATCGATCCTGGAGTGGAAGTGGGAGTATATTACAATGAACTTCGTGATAGGATTGTATAAGGCACGCACGGGGCATGATGCTATCTAGGTAATGGTCGACTGATTCACAAAGTTCTCTCACTTATTGGCTATCAAAATGGCTGACCATTTGGACAAGCTAGCAATAATGTATATCCGGGAGATAGTCAGGTTACATGGAGTTCCAGTGGCAGTGGTATCCGTCAGATACCCCAGATTCACTTCTCGATTTTTGTCTAGTTTTCAGCAAGTTATGGAAATGAAGCTGTCCCTTAGTACTACATTCTACCATTTAACCGATGGACAATCAGAGAGAACAATTCGCACACTGAAGAATATGCTTCAAGCTTGTGTTCTAGACTTTGGAAGCTATTAAAATGATTACCTACATTTGATAGAGTTCGCCTACAATAACAGTTACTAAGCAAATATTGGCATGGCCCCATACGAGGCATTGTATGGCTGCCCCAACAGGTCGTCGATATGTTGGGAAGAAGTGGGTGATAGAAAATTATTTGGCTCATATCTTGTGGAGGAGACTACAACCAATATAGTTAAGATCAGAAAGAACATTTAGACAGCTTATAACGAGTAGAAGAGTTATGCGGACACCCGGATGAGGGATTTAGAATTTAAAAAAGGTGATCAAGTGTTCTTCAAGGTCATCCCTTTTAAGGGAATCAATAGATTTGGCAAGAGAAAAAAATTAAATTCTCGGTTCACTGGGCCATTTGAGATCTTAGACAGGATTTGTATGACCGTATATAGACTGGTCTTACCTCCAGAGCTATCCAGGGTTCATAATGTGTTTCATGTATCTATGCTACGCAAGTACAACTCAGACCCTCACACATCCTGCCCCACGAGCCCCCTTCACTTCAGAAATATTTATCCTATGAGGAGGTACCAGTGGGCATTGTAGAACAAAAAAGCAGAGTACTCTGCAACAGATAAATTTCCTTTGTCAATGTCATATGGCAAAATCACAAACAGAAATATACTACATATGAGCTAGAATCAGACTTCAGAGCCCAGTATCCCTAACTGTTTGACTAAGTAAGAGGGTGACAAATTTGATGGACCAAATTTTTTCTTAAAGGGGGAGAGTTGTATTACCCGGACCTTAAATTTAGTCCATGATCAATTTTGGCAATTTAAAAATAAATAAAAAATTTATTTATAAATTAATCTAATTTAATTTTGTTAAATTATTGAAAAAAATAGGTTAGGGATGTAATCAAAAATAATTTTGAAAAAACGAGTAAAAATTTGGGTTCATGAGGGTGTTTTTTAAAGAAAAATTAGAAACAGGGGGTCAAAGTGCAAAAAAAAAAATTCGACCACATAGGACCGCCAGTTTTTCGTATTTGTAATTAGTGTGATATTCTTACTGAACTAGTATACTTCACCATTTTATTAACTATTTCAGATCAAGATGATCAATATCTATATCTCAATCAGTAAGAGGGTTGTGAGTAGTTCGCTATCCGAACTCCCTTCAAATGCTAGTGAATGTTATCTTAAGATGTTTAGTTATTTGCTTTTCGTTTTATTTATTTAATTTTCGTATGTTTTTTAGAATAAACATTCTCGTAATCTTATTGAACATTTAAAATTATTATGTAAGGAATATAAACCCTCATTCTATTAATCACTTCCGTATTTAATTTATGAATTTATTTTCATTTAAGTTTCAGGTCTTTACAACCTACTCCTATTAAGTACAAATTTAAATCTATCTTGAACCCGAAACAAATTTGAATTTTTGTTTTTTTAACTGTGTCCATTTTATGGGTTAGACAACCTGATTTCGAATAAATTATTTTATTATATTAATATAATTATAATTATATTTATCAATATAAATATGCTTACTTTATTAATATATTATGTTATATTTACTAGTATAAATATGAATATATTTATAATAATAAACACGTATATATAAAAAGCTAAAGTTATGAACTTATAATGTATAATCTGATCGAGTCGATTTCATGATTATAATTTCATTTCATATAAAGTCAAAATAGAATAAGGTTATCTACATTCTCATTATAATAAATTGTAATTTGAGCACGTCTAAATAGATAATACATTTACATATAGATCTCTATGTTGTTACATTTCATTTAAGATTATAAATATATATAATCAAACTTACTTTTACATATTTATCATTATATGGAATCATATTCATCTATTTGGACTTCTATTCATAAAACATGAATATATGAATTAATATAATCACTATATATAAAGTGATATCGCTCATCAATCTAATCAATTTATAAGTTTATTTATATGAATATAAAGATAGATTAAATGAACAATAGTAAAAACAAAAAAAAAAAATATTAACTTCGTGTCTATATTAAATTAAAAAAATAGAAAAGATGTTATAAAGATAATAAATCATATAGAATAACGTGAATTAATTGTAAAATTCCTCTATCCCTATACTTTATTATATTAATATTAATATCTTTTGCAAAGTAATGTTTGCCCAAAATTTTTAAAAGGCTAAACCCAAAATATATGATATTTATTTATTTTTTAGAGAAAAAAAAAACTATGCAATAACATAAAAGCCTCTAATCCCATTATTGTATATGTACTTTTCAAGTCTTACCACAATGTAAATAACCAAGTGGGATTTTATCATAAAAATATAATAATCATTAATTTATTTAAATGTATGAAGTAAATAATAAATCATTCAAAATTCATAAAACTAATTTCAAAATATTATATTATTATAACCATTTAAGTATTTGCAACAACTTAATCTCTTAAATCATTTTACAAAATACAATTTATTTTACATAAAATAAAAGAAAAAATTATCTTAAGTATTTAACTAAATTAATAACAATATTATTTATTACTATTAATTTATAAATCTAACTAATTAGTTAAAATCATTATTTTGACACATATTTTAAAAATCTAAATATGTTTAACTTGTAAGAAACTTTTATGCTAAAAAAATATTTTTATTGAATTCAACGTATCTTAATAAAAGAAAAATAACAAAAAGTTATAGTTACGTACCGTTTTAAGATGATGCAACTATAACATGATTGAGACACCTATTGAAAAAAAAAACATTAATTATTTGATTTACTTGTCATCTGTATATAACTATTATGCATAAAACTTTATAATTTTAGTTGACTGAAAATATATTGAGAGAAAAATTTGTGATCATTTATAAAATGAAATAAAACCGAATTTTTAAAACAAACAGAGAACATTGTGAACTAAAATATAATAAAAAAATATTAAATATCAAATTTTATGAATTAGTTTAGCAATTTATTCTATAAGTTTTGTAAATATATAGCACATGGTATTACAACTATCAGTATAAACAGCACATTGAATCAAATATATCTTTCACTTTTAACAAAAATGAAAATATACGAGAGAACAAATTTACTAACACGTCACAAAAGTTATTATATGATAACGCTTGACCGTAAAATCCGGCAAACATTTATGTATTTCTATTTTATGAAATACATTGAATGCATATTTTTTTAAATTCATAAAAATAAATTTAAATTTGCCATTAAAAGCGTCAGCATAAATGTGCACCTAGAAGCTAAAACACATTTTAACTATTAACAAAACGACACTACCGAAAATCATAACGTTTCGAACTGTTATTTATTTCACTGCATGAAATTAACAGGTGTTATTTAAAAATTTTGCCACCTTAATCGAGTTTTGAACGACTTTATTTGTCGGGACTTTCCTACTTGATCACAGAGAGTTAAACTTAACCCGTAACGGGTTTGACTTTCGACTCTACCTATTTGACTGTATTTCTAGATTCTTATAATTAAAATAATAAAAATATAATAAAACAATAATTTAAATACAAACGTGTAACATATATATATAAATATATATTATCTAAAGAATTAAAACTTTTAAAATTATTTTTTTTTGGAGTGGGAAAAAAATTAATTTATTAAACAGTACGAATTGATGATGTGTCATTTTCACCGCTGTAATAATTTACTGAATTTCACAAATTACAAGGCCCCGAATATATTGCTGAATTTTCCTTCCATATTTTTCACATTTTTTTAAAATTCAACAAATCATTATAAGTAATAAAAAAAATATTTAAATAAAATGTATTTAATTTAAAATCATTATTCAAATAGCATTTTTCATTTATTACAAAATTACTTTAATTAATTAATTTTTTAACAAAATCAGATTACATTACAGTTCACTAAGTGTGTTTTAATTATTAAGTATTAGTTCAAGTTATTACTAGTTCATAACCGCAGATCGAAATCAACGGCGCAGAGTTGACTGTGACGAAAGTGAAAGTGACCGTAGCCTTTCCCTCCAAGCATGTAGCTGAAAAGCGAGCGACGACGAAGAAGAAGAAGAATACAAAAAGGAGGAAGACATTAATGGTGGATTGTGCATAGGGTATATCGGCAGAAAATACGTAGCAAACATCGCCTCACCAAGGCCAGAGAGAGAGAGAGAGAGAGAGAGAGAGAGAGAGAGAGAGAGAAAAAGAAGAAGAAGACAGAATCAGAAAAGGAAATAAAAAAAGAAAAGAAAAGAAGAAGGTTAATACTTAATAGTAGTAAATAAGGAATGCACGGAGGAACCAGAGGTGTTATGGTACTACCCATATGTGCATATATACATACATATATATATGTATGTATATATACAATTTTACCACTCCAAACTCTGGTACACAACACAGACGCACACACTGTGTCTGTGCAGACTGTGCACAGACACACGTACAACCTTTCTTTTTTCTTTTTTGTTTTCAAAATAAAACGTCTGCAATTTCTTTTTTGTAAAGCTAAAAAAATCCTTCGCCGGATTGAATTCACACTTAAAAGGGTTTTCGAGATCAGGGGAGAGGAGTGGGGGGTTGGTGGGTTGTGAAGAGTTTGTGACATTTTTTGAGGTGGGTATGGTGACACGAGTCACCTCCCTTGTTTTCTCTTTCGTCATCTTCTTCTTCTTCCTTGCTCTTATATGCTTGGTATTCCCCTCTGGGTCTCTCTCATTCTCTTCATACTCTCTGTTCTCCCTGGTATATTTTTTCTCAATCTTGTGTTTTCGCTTTCTGGTTTTCATTTCTGAGAGAGATGGGTCGTGATCAGAGGGAGGGGGTGAGGATTGCTCAGACCAGAAAAGCTGTGGATGTCCATGGCGGGAATCAAGGTGACGACTATAGATTCTGTTAATGTTCTTCTCTGTGATCATCTTCATGTTTGTTTTTCAATTTTTTTTTTCGAGAGCAAACATTGTTTCTCTGTGTGTTCATGTGTGCGTGTTTGATGCATCGGGTCGGGTCCTCTTATCTGCATGTAGGATTGTTTCAAGAAAATTGTTGTATTTTCTTTGACTGCTATCATTATTTATTTATTTATTATTATTATTAAAACACAAACACTTATTATTATTATTTATTTATTGGTTTCTGGGTGAAAATAAATAGCGTTGAATATTATTTTTATTTTATTTTATTTTTTCATTTTCTCTTTCTATTTCTTATATGAGCCTCCATATAAATTTGGAATAAACAAAAGAAAAAGAGAAAAATACCAGATTTTTTTTTCTTTTTTATTTTTTTTCTCCTTAATTATTGGGTTAATTATAATTTTATATATATATATATATATATATATTGAATTTTTCTACACTCAGGCGGTCATGAAAGTGACCTATTCAATGAACTGTGGCATGCATGTGCTGGTCCTCTTGTTTACGTTCCCCGGGATGGAGAGAAGGTTTTCTATTTCCCTCAAGGTCATATTGAACAGGTTTGTCCTTTATGATCTTTCACTGTTTTCACCATTCTTAGATCTTTTCCTTTTCATCTATTCAAAAGCTCCCATGTATGTATGTATGTATATATATGTGTGCATGTACATATAGATTTTTGTAAAGTCAAAAAGGGGTTGGCATGTTGCTATAATGGACATGTTTTTGCTTGTGGTATGCCTGAATTCTTACTTTTAAAACGGGTTGCAGATTGAGGCATACACAAATCAAAGTGGTGAAGTGGAAATGCCCATCTACAATTTGCCCCCAAAGATTCTCTGCAAGGTTGTGTATGTTCGCTTAGAGGTATATTCATTATATTTTTCAGTTCATCTTTTCATTTTTCATTTCATTAAATTTCAATCATTTTAAGATTAATTGGGTTCAATTTCCTGTTTTTCTGTTTATTTCCTTTGTCCTTTTGGCGGTTTCTAAGGTGATCTAATCGTTGCTTTGTAGGCTGAAATCACCACAGATGAGGTGTTTGCACATATTACTTTGCTTCCACTGAGAGAGGTAAGAGAGGTCTACTTCGGTGGTTCTCAAACAAAGATGAGTTTATGTGGGTGATATTTTCTATGAAAATTTTTGTTGTGATGGGAATTCATAGAATTGATTTGTCTATTCAAATCCTTTTCTTTTTCTGTCTTAAATTCTCAAACACTCCTGTGACATGGATGGTTTCTTTGTTAAAGTTCATGATCTGGTTTATTGCAGCAAGATGGGTCAATTTTGGAGAATGGATGTTCCCTACCTGTGCCTCGTACATCTCACTCAAGTTTCTTTATCAAGAAACTTACTCCATCTGATACGAGCACCCATGGCGGATTCTCAGTCCCAAAACGTCATGCTGAAGACTGCCTTCCACCTCTGGTTACCATCTTGCCTTTCTTAATTTCAGTAACATTCTAGACATCTTATGACATGAGCTCTACATGTTGGAAACCTTCCATCTGTTTTCAATTAGGCTTCTCTTGTAATGTTTACATTTCTTCCCATTAGTGTGTTTGTACTTTTAATTCTGTGCATTTTTCTTATGAAAATCACTTGAACTGCATAAAATATAAAACAAACATACCATTTATGTGCTTTATATATTGTTACAGGACTTGGCTCAGCAACCCCCAGTTCAGGACTTGGTTGCCACAGATTTGCATGGGGATCAGTGGCACTTTCGCCATATATTTCGTGGTGAACCAAAGTCTCTTAAATTAAGACTTATACATGTTTATTCAGCATTTGCATCAATTCTTTTTTGTGTTTCAAGAATTAGGGATGCTTCCTGAGCATGTCTTACTCATTCTGCTGGAATAGCAATTAGAACCTTAGCACAGAAGTTATTTGGATACCATTGAAGCAAAGCAATCAATTGATTGGAGAATGTGACATTCTCTAATTTTAAGGGAAAAGAAAACCTCAATAGTTGAATTTTTTCGCTAGAAACCTTTTGTTTCTTTTCTCATGTAGGTCAGCCGAAACGCCATTTGCTCACAAGTGGCTGGAGTACATTTGTTTCTTCAAAGAAGCTTGTTGCTGGGGATGCATGCATCTTTCTCAGGTTCTACCTCCCTCCCTGTCTGAATCTTCTACTTCTTCTGGACATAAATTGTGTTATGCCAGTTGCGTATGCATCAAATTCTTTATAAACCCATGAGGCCTTCATCATATTTTGTCCAGAGGACATGTTGCAGTGGTATGCTGTTTCAAATTCTTCATAAACCCATGAGGCCTTTGTCATATTCTGTCCAGAGGACATGGTGATGTGAACATTGAACCAATGAGTGTGTTTATAATAGTCTTAAAAGTAGCAAACCAAGAGAAAACAAAACGTTATTAACAATTTCCTTTCCCAGGGGACAAAATGGAGAACTTCGTGTTGGAGTTCGTTGTGGAGCAAAACTACACAATAATGCAGCAGCAACCGTTCTATCTGCCCACAGCATGCAGCACGGAATACTTGCAAGTGCATACCATGCAGTTTGCACTGGAAGTATGTTTAGTGTCTACTACCATCCTTGGTAAGGTTTACGGTTCCAAGGACAGGAATGTTGAATGTGAAAATGGCAAGACTAGATTTTAGAACCCACACCATCCTCTTTTCTAAACAAGGAATTTATCAATTCTTCTTTACAGGACAAGCCCTGCCGAATTCATCATTCCCTATGATAAATACATGAGGACAACTGAAATTGAATATTCTCTTGGAGCGAGATTCAAAATGATATTTGAAGCTGAAGAAGGTGGAGAGCAGAGGTGCCTCAACTGAACTTCTATTGTAATCCAGCATGTTTTCTGTGAAAACTAGCAGCTAATTTCTCAGCTTTGTCGGTTCCTTACATGCATATCACCATTTTACTTACGAATTGCGTTTATATCTAGCATCTTTGAACTGAATGCAGTCGCTGCATAAACCAGACTTGCAGGCACTGTAGTTGGTAATGAAGATATTGATCATATTAGGTGGCCTAACTCGGATTGGAGATGCCTTAAAGTAAGAAGTTCCATTCATGGTATTGAAAAAAATCTTGGCTTTGAAATAAGAACTTCATTTGAAACAAACAATTTGACTTCACTTCTGATCCTTTATAGGTGAAGTGGGATATCAAATCAGATAGACTACCCTGCCCAGAGAGACTTTCTCCTTGGAGCATAGAGCTTATGGAATGCAACAGGAAGAAGAAAACTTCTGTTCAACACCTGCAAAAGAGGGCTCGTGTTCATAGTTTATCAATTCCAGGAGTTTCCAGCATGGTCCAAGATGGTCAGTAGTCCTGATTAGATGTGAAGAAAACAGAAAGGCGGATTTACAACAGTCTTTGTCTGCCTGGTTATCCATAATTTGTTATTGTGACTCATCAAACTCTCTTTTCTCTCTAGGCTTGTTTCGAAATGCAGTTAAGCATTTTCCTCATTTAGGGGTCTTGCAAGGTCAAGAAAGTAAGGGCAAGGGCATCATCATTGAAACAGATGCTCCAGGAATGCGACCCAGAAAGAATCCTGGTTGGAAACCAACACAACCAGAACTCGAGGATCATCTGGCCTTTGCAATGGATGATCCATTTGATAAATGTCACATTAGCTCAATTCTATTCTCTGGTGGAAATATTGGAAGTTCAATTCCAAAGGGTTGCCCTTCAGCCCATGCTGTGCAGAACAAAGCTAAAGGTAAACAAATCTTATCAGTTCCAAATGTCAACTTCTCCAATTCTGAATCTTCAGACCGGAGGGCTTTGGAACTGAGGGACCAAAATGATGCTCCCCCAATGCAACAAAGTTGCCTGGGTGGATACAAACTTTTTGGAGTCAATTTGTTCAATAGTCCACCAGAGCTCCCTTCACCCCAAGTTGCCAATTCCAGTGATTTTGAATGTTTTTCTTATGTTCCACCAACATCCCAGTCAAGTATTTCTGGAACTAAAAGGGTCACAGACCCATCAAACAGCCTATCTGGCAGCCTCTCAAAAAAGAAATGCAACACTTTCTGCTCCGTCACTAATCGGAGTTGCACCAAGGTATGAATTTCTTTGAATACTTTGCATGCGTTTTAATTAAAAGAAGAATCATGGCTGAATGAACTACTTCTGTAAAAGTGATATTTGGTCCTTGGGAAGAATGGGAAAAAGCATAGTAGAAGAAAGAAAGAAATAGTCTAGACCTGGTTCTTTTACATGTGAAATACAATGAGCGAATTGTTTGGTTCTTTCATAGCTCATGAAGTGATAATTTGCAGAGAATCATGATATGTTCTCTATCTCAGGTCCTCAAGTATGGAACTGCCCTTGGAAGATCAATTGACCTCACAAAATTTAATGGGTATGAAGAACTTGTTTGCACGCTTGACCAGATGTTTGACTTCAAAGGAAGCTTGATGGATGGGACTAGTGGTTGGCATGTAGCCTACACAGATGATGAAGGAGACATGATGCTGATGGGTGATTATCCATGGCAGTTAAGTTCCCAGACACAACCAGAAAATGAGAAGTTTTTCCTTTTGGCTGATTGCTGTTGATTATTAATTGATTGCCTTGGATACATCATGATCTCTTTTCCAACCTTTGATTGTAATTTAGTAATTTTGTATAACAATCATGTAAACGCATTCAGAATTACTAAATTACTCGTATAAGACATGATGTCTCTGAGGCACCATAAAATTCTCAGTTGTTGTTCATTTGTATCTTGATTCCGGGGCACCACAAAATTTCCGATTGTTGTTCATTTGTATCTTGATTCCCAAAAGGCTGTTAAACGAGTACCCTGGGGGAAGTCGAGAAACAAACCCAATAAATTCAGCATTGAAATTTTGTTTCGAATACTTATTTAGTGATGTCTTGTGATTCTTGCAGGGGATTCCAGGGCATGGTGAGGAAGATGTTCATCTGTCCTAAGGAAGATCCAGAAAACTGAATCCCAAGCTCAGTGAGAACTTCCTCTGCAATCTGACTGTGTTAAGGTTGTATTGCTGAGAGATGTTGGTTGAAGCTATGGCAGTTGAAGTTGCTTTAAATAAAGCTTTTGTGTTGTTTTCAGTAATCTTGCTGTTTATATCTATCCCTTTTACTGGGAGTTCAAACAATATGCTTGTATATAGATAATGAAGTTTGACATATTTCTATCAGATTCAACTCTTTCATTTCATTTTTCAGAATATATATATATATATATTCTAATACAATATTTTTTGAATTCGAGATATATTTTATTTATTGTTATTTCTATTATATTTTGATAGAGTTTAAACTCGCAGATAATAATAAATTTAATTATAATAATTATGATTTAAATAGATAGTTTTAAATTCTTTAATTTTTAATTTTAAATAATCTTTTTATTTAATAAATTTTTTTTATTAATATCTTAATAGATATATAAATATTTATATACGGATTGACGTTCTTTAATATTTATTAATATAATTCATATTTTGATTTCGGATTATTTTTTTATTCAATGGAAAATTTTGAATATTTTATTAATATTTTCGTAAATATATAAATATTTATAATATAATTTGTAATTTTATTTAAAAAAAATTATGATTTAAACTAAATATTTAATATATTAAATTTAGACATGTTAAATCACTTTTTCTTTTGACACTTTTTGCTAGAACATTTGTTCCATTAGAACGTCAAATGAATGGGTTGGTACCCATAAAACGACAGCGTTTCTTATCCAGTTTGCATTTCCATCTTCCCTGCAAATCCAAATTCATTGCAGTTAGCATAGAGCCCTTGTTCTTTTCCCGCCATCTACGACTTCCTTCCATCATTTACCTGAAAACTAACTGAAATCCCAGAAGAAAGCTTCTAAAGGAACCTCAAAAAGAATAGCAATAGAACAATGACGTCCTTAGTTTCCTCTTTGGCAGCCATAGCCAACCCAAGGAGTATCACTCTTTTTTGCTCCGTCTCAAACCGCACTCCTATGATGGGGACGCCAGCCCTTAATTTCTGGGTTTCCTCTTCACCAATTGCCCTACTGAAGGAAACTCAGAGCTCACTATCGCCTACTATTCTACGATCTCAGTCAGCTTCTAATCCACAAGGCAGTGATGAAGAAGAAGACTCGGAAACCCTAGTTCAAGACCTCAGGATCCCACTACACTGGTTGGTCCCTTCCAAGGCCTTGCAGGTATTATTTTATGAATTCTACGAGGATTCATCTGTAAATGAATTCTTATATTTGGTATATATAGTGAATTTGTATATTACTCAACAAATTTGATTGTGTTTTGCTTATATAGTTTACATTTGGATAGTTTAATTTTTACGTGAAGTTAAATCTTTATAATTACTAGTTATTTCTCTTTTTGAACCATGGAAATTTATTTTTAAATTCTTTTAGTTTCAATAGATTCGAAGTATGCTATTATAGTTTTTCCTTAGAATTCATTTGGAATTGAACTTTTATATTTGGAATAACTCTTAACTTTAAAAACTGAGACCTGTAAATGAATTCTACAACTGTTGTAGACTCCATTTGCTCCAAATAGATCCTTATATTACCATAATTAGAATGTTGAATTGAAATTTGCTTAAAGCTTTCATTGTTACCAACCCAGGAACGGCTTGTCTGGAATAAAATACTGGTTGAATTGTTGGTGGATAACTTGGTTCAACAATTGTTTGGAATTTTTCAGTCCTTACAGCTGATTAACTGGCTTGTTTATGTTTGTTTGTGAAGCTGCATGCAATCAGTGTGGATGTATCTACAATAGAGTTGAATTTTGCAAAATTTTCAAGCAACAAATACGTCTTATGCCTTTTCTGCTGGGCATTTGTGTTATTTTGGAATAAATTCCTTGGAAGAAGTAATGAGTTTTGATCAAAAGCAAGCAAAAGACATCAATCTATCCCGTAGGAACATAGGAGATCGAAAATGATCTTTAAAAGCTTTGCTACTCTTTTCCAGTCACAGAACTCAGAACCCAACAAATATAGCACCTCTTCCATCAATTCTGCTCCTTCCTATCAGACTCAGGCAGGCAAGAGAAAGGAAGGGGGAAAAACCCAACATACATCAAAGAAATCAAAAATCTAATTCCAAACCCATCAAATTTTCTCTGCATTTGTTTTAGATCCAAGCTTTTGTAATTCCCTTGACCATGACTAGTAGTAAGTCAAACCCTGATTTAGCTGGGAATGGATATAAACCACAATTAACTACTGGAAATTTCATAACATGCATATGACGATCTCTGATCATTGTGGCATATTCATGCCTTTTCTTTTCCTTTTCATTTTCTTAAAACTTCAGGATTGTTGACAGTAGATGGCTTGGTCCATATGATGGTTTAGAAAGAAAATCAGTATGCACAATTAGTTGCGTTCTTTCTAGTTGCTGGTAAGCTTCATACTTCCAATTTTTAAGGAACCCTGCAGGAATCAGAGTGGCTGAGGATTACGCTGCATAAATGGTTGGATGATGAGTATTGCCCGGAGCCAACTAACCTGGAGATCAGTAAGGTTGCTGCGCGCTCGTACTATGAATCATTGCTAGAGAAAGAAACAGACCTGGGTGTAATTTTGTTGAAGATGGTAGGAGAATTAGAATCCATTTCCTATCAAGAGAGTTTTCATGGGGCCTTCACATCAGCAAATGCAGCAGTTAACTTAATCATAGATCGAATTGAGAAGTCATAATCCAATATCCTGGAAGGCTTATGTTACTGGCTAAATCTGCTATTCCTCTATGCAGTTATTTTATCTGAGAGTTTTATTTTATATTTCCTTCTCAATCTATTGTTAACTTTATATCAAGATGTCTATGAGAGGAAGGATTAATGCCAAAACAAGTAGAACTGGGTGATTTTCTTTTTGAGTCTATTAGTAGTTTTGGTAGCTTATTTCCTTTTGGCCTATAAGCCATAGACATATTAGTAAATAATGTCAAGCCACACATTCAAATGACTTACGTTCTGATCAAACCAGCTTATAACTTATAAGCCAATTGAGCTGAAAATAATAAAAGGCAAACACTCCCAGGAACCAGCAGATGTTTTCACTGGCTTATCTGTCTTCGTACCAGCATCATTCCATGTTTATGATTATAAAGTCATTTCAAAAGAGCATTTAACAATGTAATTCTTATTGCAGCTGATCTGGTGCAGGAAATCCAAGATTCTTCATTGATGTAAAACCTCCATCTACTACCAAATTATGGCCACTGATATACTTGGCATCATCCGATGCCAGATAGAGTGCAGCATTAGCTATGTCATCTTCCTCACAAACTGCTCCCTTCAAGACACCAGCACCGTGTACTATTTGAGTCAGTCTTGAAGCATCAATACCCGGGTAAATCAATTTCATTTCTTCCATCACAAATGGAGTTGGAATGGCAAAAGGCGAAATGCTATTGACCCGAATTCCATATGAGCAGAGCTCGGCTGCAACAGACCTAACAATTCCTATCACAGCAGACTTGGACACACTGTAAGTATGTTGTGATAGCCCACCAAGGATTCCTACAACGCTTGCAGTACACAAAATGGAGCCAGTTCTACGAGGGATCATCACACGTGCTGCGTGTTTGATCCCAGCCATTACTCCTCGGACATTGATGTTCATTGTCCGATCAAATGCTGCAAGATCAAGTTCCACAATGCTGGCAGGAGTCTTACAGGCTACCCCAGCATTGTTGTACATGATATCGAGTTGATTGTGTGTAGAGACTGCAAAATCAACAGCATTAGAAACATCGGATTCCTTCTTAACATCGCAGGTAATAAACACGGCATTTGGCCCAAATTCTGCTGCAGTTTCTTGGCCTAGTTGTTGTTGGATATCAGCAATAATGACTTTGGC